CCACCTCGAGCGTGGCATTTTGGATCCCCAAGATGCGAGGATGTCTCAGGCGAAATGGGCCAGGCCACATTGCCCCTGGCAGCTCTGAAGCCAAACTTGCGAAGATCTCTCAACGCAATGCAATTCAGTGCAACGGAAAGTGATGCAATATAATGCAAGCCCATGGTTTGTAACGCAATGCCATGACATGCCATGCAATGCCATGCGACATGAAAATACACAGGGGCATGAGATGAAGGCTTCTGCTGTGGGGGATGCGGGATAAAAGGGGAGGGAGAGAAGGAGCACGATGATGCTGATGATGATGATGATGAGGAGGAGGAGAAGGAGGGAGCTGTTTTCTAGAACTCCACAAGCAACTTGGCATGAAATGCGGTGCGAAATCAGTAGCAGGAGGCGGGGCTGGCAACAGGATCGAACACAGCGGAAACACACCATGCAGAACCGAAGCTCACTCAGCAGGAACATGACTTTTCGTTGGCTTGTACGTACTGAAAGGAATGCTCTGGACCCTGGCTGGCAACAAGAGCTGCGAATCCACCCATGGCGCGTTGAGGCTGGATGCTCGTGCGACATGCAAGGAAGAAGAAGAAGAAGCAACGCAATAGGCCTCATCAGACTATCAACGCAAGCGGGGTTTTCGAATCCTGCGGGGTGCATCGCAGAGCCGCTGCAACCAAGAATGATTTTATCAACAGTGTCAAGATACGGGAAGCCAAGGCGATGGCATCGAAATACAGAGACTGCACGCACGAGCAGCTAATGAGCTGGCCCAAGGTTCTTGAACAACGAAGTTGCCTACCTTGAACGAGGAGTCGACCAACACAACTGCAACGGCATGGGCATGGCTACGCGAATATCTTGCCAGGTGGCGCACAGGCAATTAGGTGGGCCTGTGTGCAGCTCGTGTCACGAGGCTAGCGCCAGCTCTACACGTCGTTCAGATGGGCGGGGCGTCCCTGGCTGCCTCTTGGCAAACACACATGGGCGTTCCTGGGCTGGCAGCTGCGACGTGGCGTCTCTGGCGACACCACGTATTTCACACTTACCAAAAAGCCAGGGTTCGGCAAATCTGTTGCGTGATCGTTCTTCATGGACGACTTGACTGCTGCGGTCTTCCCAGGTAAAAAAACGGTCGGCCTCTGGGACCTGGGTGGGCACTTTTCATGTGTTAGCGCTTGCTGTTTAGAATCGCTGAATCATGCCTGTGACCTGCAGGGCGCAATAGTAAGGAAACTCGCCGCAGCATGTGCTTGGAACCTTGAGAGGATTCCGTTGCGGACCGATCCACACTGGAGTGGCCATACAGCAGGCCGCAGGACCTAGCGTTCTCATGAGGCTGGCAATGACGAGATCTGCTAACGCGTTGGACTTCTAGGACCTCCTGCATTGCGCTCGCATTACCGATGCGGGCGAAACCGATGGGGGCGACGACCCCGAAGGAAGCTTGCGACATCATTGGTAAGGCGCTTGACCCTGCAGAGCCTGACAGCGCCACAGGCGACATGATCTGCAAACCTTTCACGTCCGAAACGCACTGCGCTCCTGCTTTTGATGACGCGCTGGCCGAGGTACTTGTCGAGGATCTCGGCGCGGACAATATGAATGCGCTCATAGAGGTATGAAAGGTCGCCAAGGAGAGAAGAAACATACAGCGATGCGCCGAGTACGTATTGAACCAGGGCGGAGAACGACCTGGCTCGGACCCTGCGGACCCGAAGAAGAAAAAAACAAACAACACGAATAACAATACAAATGAGACTGCTACTGATGATATGAATACTAGAACCACGCGCGCGCTTCGCGCGCGCTTAGGTTCTAGCTAGGATCGTCACCGTCGTCATCATGAACATCACCATCGCCATCATTCCCCCCGCCAAGGCTAATGTACATCGTTTCTGGATGCTTCTGGCCGGAATACGAAAGGAGTTTCTGTAGTTAGAGTCTCTGGGGGAAGTCGCGGGGAAGCTTTTGTTGTCTTTGGTGTTGCGTCGCCAGGAGGTCTGGGCTCCCTCCTCCTCGTGTTCCTACCTCCTCTCTGGACGTCCGATGTCGTGATGCTTTCTGTGCGCGGCCCCTGGACCTCTCGACGACTTCCTGGGGATGTGTTTTTTTTCATCCTGAGTCGTTTTCTGACGGTCCCGGGACCCTGCGAGGGGCCCCGGAGGCCGAAAATTGACCGAAACCGCCGTCGTGATTTTTCCAAGACGTCGGAGGTCCAGGTCGTGCTTCCCGCCTCCCCAGACCTCCGACGTCGTAATTTTTGCGACCTCGGGCCCAGGAATCGATTGGGAAAACGCACATGGGAAGGCAAGAAATGATGGACCCATGATTTCGTACCTGTGCCTTGATCAGTGGGACGGGCTTCGCACCGCCGCACATCACAAGACACGCTCGAGCAGATCCAGCCGTGGCGACGTCGGGGACTGCAGAAGGTCGCAAGGACACGGAATCTGAAAGGAAGAAAAAGAAAGAGAGAGAAAGAGAGGGAGAGAGAGAGACAGACAGACAGAGAGCGAAGGAGAGAGAGAGAGAGAGAGAGATGGAAGAAGGCCAGAGAGCGCTGAAAGATACAAATACTGGAACCCTCTTGGGATTTTTTTGGGGGCCTCGTCCGGCCGCTCGCTGGGAGTTTGACGTAGCTTCTTGTGAGCCTCTGAACCTGTCGGGGGCCTCCTGGAAGCAGGTTCGAAGCATTGTGGGGGCCGATTTGGGGCTTCTCGGGGCCTCCTTTGGGCCTCTTGGGGGTCTCCTGGGGCCTCTTGAGGGGCCTCCTGGGGGCCTCCTGGCGGCCTCTTGGGGCGGAAGGCTCGAGCTTGCGGTTCGTGGTCCCCCTCTGGGCCCCCTCTTGGGCCCGTCTTGGGGCCCTCTTGGGCCATCTTGGGCGCCTCTTGGGCCGTCTTGGGGCCCTCTTGGGCTGTCCTGGGGCCCTCTTGGAAGCTTCTTGGGCCGTCTTGGGGCGGTCTTGGGCGCCTCTTGGGCCGTCCTGTAACGTCGGAAAGCCCAAAAGACAACTTTGTTGAAAATGTACGTTTTACGAAGGGAATGGGCAAATTTTTGCGTCTAGGGGCCCTCTTGGGACGCATGTTGGAAGCTTCTTGGGGCCTCTTGGGGGCGTCCTTGGACGTCTGGAGGCCATCTTCAGCATCTCGGAGCCCTCTTGGAGGCCTCTTGGAAGTTTCTTGGGCCGTCTTGGGCGCTTCTGGGGCCGTCTTGTCTGACCGGGGAGGCCTCCGGCAAGCCCCGACGAGCCTCCGGGCCCCCCGGGGTGCACATTTGTGGTCGAGGTCCCGGCCCCGGGCCCCCGGACCCGGTGCGCCGTTATATGTATAATAATACAAAGGACACATATCCTTTCAAAGAAGCAACCCCAACGGCGAAGGCTAAAGCTAAATCCATGCCGGGCCACCCTCCAGAACCAGACCCAGCGCACCAGGCGCTGCGTCAGCACCTTCATCACCTGCGCCAGCACCAGCACGACCAGGCGCTGCGCCAGCACCAGCCGCTGCGCCAGCACCTCCAACACTTCCAGCACGTCCAACACCAGCACCAGCACAAACACCTCCACGACCACCACCAGCAGACCCACTGCCAGCAGGAGTGCGTAGCCATAGGCCACCTGCTGCCCCAATCATGTTCTACACGACGGCCAACGTGGACAACGCGGTCAATTTAACGGTCAGTGCCTGTTTCACCACAATCCTGGTTTACGCGACGCGCCGTCGTGGAAGATGCGCGTCAGGGATCCAGCCGCAAACGGCTGGGCAAACATATCACCGATGCTTCGGATGCCCATAGAAACGCCACAAATAATCGAAGCGTGGGTGCGCAAGTGGTTCGGTCAGAGCAGGCCACGCTGCCCGTGACCAGGACATCTTCAAACACGCGCTCTCTGCAGCAGAGTGGTTATGCCCCCTTCTGCACATCTGAATGTACATATAGAGGCGGGGCGGCAGAGTGTACGTTCGGGATGTGATGTACTGGTATACGGTTACCAGTACACATTGCGCACAATAGGGGTCATCATAATCACCAGCATCATCATCGTCATGGCCATCATCGGCATCATCTTCATAATCAACATCGTCGTCGCCATCACCATCGTCATCGTCATCATCATCAGCATCATCATCATCATCACCATCATCACCAGCATCAACATCGTCACCACCACCGCCTTTACCATCGTCATTATCACCACCATCTTCCTCATATGGAAAACCGAATGGTCACCAGCCATGCCAATAAAGAGCCAAGTCTTTCCATGAACACCCCAAGCGGTTTCCATTATAATCTAGCCAAGCACACGCCCGAAACGCTATGAACCTAAACGCCTATGATTTAGACCCCCGCGGAGGGACATTGAGTAACTCTCCTTTGCGAATCTACACTCCCGTTGTTTCTGGTGTTTCAAAAACGCGTTCCCGCTGCAGCTTGGGCCTCATTTTCGGATCGGCGCTCTGCTCTCGTCGGTCAGAATGCCGCGCTCGCGCCAGCGTGGGCAACTTTCCCAGATCCGATTCCTTTGTCGTCGCTGTCGCCATGTCCCCTCCTCCGCCTTCACCTGCTCCTCCTGCTGCTGCTGCCGCTGTTTGTTTTCGTCTTCATCCTTCTTCGTCCTTCTCCTTTTCCTACTCGCCCGCCACCTCCTCCTCCTCCTCCTTCTCCTCCTCCTCCTCCTCCTCCTCCTCCTACTCCTCCTCCTCCTCCTCCTCCCCTGATGTACGCAACTCCCATTTCTCGCTTGCGCATGACACGATGCTTTCTTTTCGGGGGATTCCAGGTCAGCTATGGCACGACCCCGCGGATAGAGAGAATGAACGCAACGAGAAGGGATGGGAAGAGGGGTAGGATGTCATATGCGGCGCGAGCACACCTAGTTTGTCCTCTCTCCTCCTCTCTCCTCTCCTGGCACCTCCTCTCTCCTCTCCTGCCTCCTCCCCTCCTCTCCTCATCCGCCCTGCCTCTCTCCGCCGGGCCGCCGCCGCGAAGCCGCTGACTCCACTGGCCCTCGTAGCGGTTCAGCATCTGCTGCGCTGGCAGCACACCTCGCGCCCGAGGGCTGAGAAGGGTGGAAGAGAACGAAGATGATGCTGATGCGCCAACCTCCTGCACGGCGATGGTGATGATGGCGATGCTGCTGCAAGTGCTGCTGATGATAATGATGGTGATAATGAGGACGATGGGATGATGTTGATAATGACGATTATGGATGATGACTCTCATGATGACGACCACGATGATGCTGATGTTGATGTTGCAGTGGTTGTTGTTGACGATGATCATGACGATGATGACGAGGAGGATGAGGAGGAACGAAGAGCAGCGGGAAGGGGGAGGTGTAATGGGGAGATGGGGAGGGAGGACTAAAAGCAGGAGGAGGGAAAGGAGACGGGAGGAAGGGTGATACGCGAACATGAGGAGGTAGCGGCCGTTGGAGCAGAAGGATACGGAACGCCTGGAGGGGCACATGATGAGGAGCATTGAAATATCGCTGGGCTCGGCGGATACTCCACATGACACAAACGACAAGCGAACGGACACAGCGAGGGCGATCAGGAGGGCTGGCCACAGGGCGCCCATCCAAGACGCACGGAATCCAACCGCTGATGATTTTTTTTTTACTGTGGGCTGTATCCGTCTAAATCCTGGCCGCAGACAGGTCGAAAGACGATGGACAATACACCTGTAAAAAACCAGGGTCCAAATCTCAGCCTCAGTGAGAAGCAGCTTGCTGAGGAGGGCCGCCCCCCTGATCATGCTGGAGGGGCTGCAGCTGATTGGGGCAGATTCGGTGGGGCCCTCAAGGACCGCAGTGCAACCAGCCAACATATTGACTGGACTCTCGATGGATCAGGGCCCGCACGACTGAGAACAACAAAAGACGTCCTTTGTGCCACAGCTCGTGGCTCTTGGCTGGCGTGCAGCTGCTGGCCAGAGGTGACAAAACTGGTGCGCAATGTTCCAAGAAAGATCCTCCATACCCAAACGACGCTCAAGCCACCGGCCCACGCGAGCCACCAGCTCCAGGGAAGGGACCGCCTTCGGCAGCAGGACGGGAGGCCTGGGAGCCAGGGCGGGACAAGCGGACAAGACAGAATCGCGAAACTCCCTGGATGTCTCTCGGGCATGAGAGCCACTCGGAACACCTCCAAAACCTCGGAGCCAACAGGTAAAAGGCGTGCTGGGACGCCTGAATTAGAGCAGAACGTCCCTGCTTGGCTCTCACGAGCCGTGGGGGCAAGCCCATGGCAACAACACGCGAGCCACCCTCCGGAAGCAGCGAGACATGCAGCGCGAAGCAGGGCCGCCTTCGCTTGGGCCTGGATCTCCAGAACTGCGTGACAAACGCGAATTGGGATCTGACAAGGTTCCGCTTCCCCTGCTGAGCAGCCGCTGACCTCGAGAACCTTTTGGCTCTGGCTGGGTCGAGGTGAGACGGGCAGTGCACAAGCTCGGTCTCTGCCAAGCGAAGGTCGAACCAATGACAACAACTCCCACCAGAGGTCGGCATTGGCCGAGAGGAGAAGCAGCAGGAGGAGGGGAGGAAGGGGGGGGAAGAAAGAAGGGGGAGGATGAGCTAAGCTAGGCTGAGCTGCCCAAACACAAGACCCCCCCCAGCCCTCTGTGCACAGGTAGTTCAGAGTGATAGTTGTTCCAACCCCCTTCTTCCCCTTCGGGGGTAGGTTTCCTCACTGCATACCGTTAGCGAACAGCCCTACGACATCCACGTGGCGGCTACTCTAAGCCTGAATCATGGGCGGGCGCCCGCGATCGCTTCCAACTTGTTCTTCATATGTGTCCGCTGTGCGTTCAGCGTTGTCAACATGATTGCGGGTGCACATGCTATGCCATGCTGACCCGCCGCGGCACATTGCATAGGTATTGATAGGGAAGGTGGGGTGATGGGGAGTCGACATATTGCCCGATGTGTGCTGTCAAGCGCACTGGTGCACCTGTCGCCGCATGGCGCACTCTGCGCGCGGTGCGCACCTGGCGCGGATAATGTGGCACACTTGGCACACGCGGCGTATCTGGTGTACCAGGAGCGCTGCTGAGACCGCCAGTGAGCCAAGGAACCAACAAGGAGCTGAACAACTCGAGATTACTCCGACAGTAGGACCCCACATGCATGATGATCTGTTTAAATTGCCTGAGGATTTTCTCCTGCCCCTTCCCTTCTCCCACCTACTCCTGCCTCCTCCTTCTCCTCCTGCCTCCTCCTCCTGCCTCAACCCCTGCCTCCTCCTCCTCTTTCCCTCCTCTACCACCTCCTCCTTCTCCTACTCCACCACCTCCTCCTCCTCCTCTCTCCTCCTCCTCCTCCTCCTCCTCCTCCTCCTCTCCTCCTCCTCCTCCTCCTCCTCGTCCTGCTCCTCCCCTCCTCCTCCTCCTCCTCCTCCTCCTCCTCCTCCTCCTACCCCTCATCTCCCTCTCCCTCCTACGCCTCCTCCTCCTCCTCGTCTCCATCTTCCTCCTCCCCCTCCTCCTCCGCCTCCTCGTCCTGCCTCCTCCTTTGGCCTCCTGCCTCCTCCTGGGGCCTCTTGGGGCCTCCTGAAGCTTTTTAGGCCTCCCGGGACCTCCTGGGGCCTCCCAGGGCATTCCTCTTGCTCCTTCTCCTCCTCCTCCTCCTCCTCCTCCTCCTCCTCCTCTCCTCCTCCTCCTCCTCCTCCTCCTTCCCTCTTCCTCTTCATCGTCCTGTGCCCCCCCTCTGCCTCCTCCTCCTCTTCCTTCTCCTGCTCTTTCTCGTCCTGCATCCTCCTCCTCCTCCTCCTCCTCCTCGTCCTCGTGCGGGAACACGACCTAGAGGAAACGCGCGACGTGCGTCCCCGCGGCTACGCGCCGGAGGACGACCCAGAGGAAGCGCGCGCCGGAGGACGACGCGGAGAAAGCACATGCTGAGACTTCCTCGCAATTCAATCACAGACGAGGCTCCCGCCTCATATTTCCCAAATATTCAGGCCTCAGGAGCCCCAAAGTAGCGACAGTTACAAGGTTCCGATGACCTGCTCGGATGAAAAACATGCTCTGCGGGCCACATAGTGAGGGGGGCTCCCGCCTGAGACGTCCTCGCAATTCACTCACAGACGAGGCTCCCGCCTGATACTTCCTTCATATTCAAGCCTCAGGAACCCAAAAGTAGCGACGGTTACAGGTTTCTGATGACCCGCTCTGATTAATGACAAGAGCTGCGGGCCCCATAGGGAGGAGGCTCCCGCTTGAGACTTCCTCGCAATTCACTCATCGACGAGGCTCTTGCCTGATATTTCCCAAATACTCAAGCCCCTGGAGCCGAAAAGTGACGACTGTTACAAGTTTCCGATGACCCGCTCGGATTCGTAACATGATCTGCGGGCCCCATAGTTCCTCGCAATTCACTCACAGACGAGGCTCCCGCCTCATATTTCCCAAATATTCAGGCCTCAGGAGCCCCAAGATAGCGACAATTACAAGGTTCCGGTGACCTGCTCGGATGAATAACATGCTCTGCGGGCCACATAGTGAGGGGGGCTCCCGCCTGAGACGTCCTCGCAATTCACTCACAGACGAAGATCCCGCCTGATACTTCCCAAATTTTCAGGCCTCAGGATCCCCAAAGTGACGACAGTTACAGGGTTCCGATGACCCGCTCTGATTAGTAACATGATCTGCAGGGCCCTATAGGGAGGGGGCTCTCGCCTGAGACTTCCTCGCAGTTCCCTCACAGACGAAGCTCCCGCATGAGATGAGTGAGTGATTGAATGAGTGAATGAGTGAAGATGATTCCAATGATAATGATGAGGATGACGATGCTGATGATGATGGTGATGCTGATGATGATGATGATGCTGATGATGTTTCCGATGTTGCTGATGATGATGCTGATGATGATGCTGATGATGATGATGATGATGATGATGATGATGATGATGAGGAGAGTGCGAGTGAGTGAGTGGGTGGGTAGGTGGGTGAGTGAGTGGGTGAGTGCGTGAAGAGTGATGATGATGAGTGAGTGTGTGTGTGTGTTACTGGGTGAGTGAGTGGGGGAGTGAGTGAGTGTGTGTGTGTGTGTGTGTGTGAGTGTGCGAGTGGGTGAGTGAGTGGGTGAATGAGTGAGTGAGTGTGAGTGACGATGTATGTGAGTGATTGGATGAATGAGTGTGCGATTAGAGAAGAGGGGAGTGTGTGTTCTCTTGTTCCTGCGCGGGGTGTCCAGAGAAAACAAGAACCCCACTTTGGATGTGGGGAACAACTGGCAATTCACAAGACATCGTGGTGACTGAATCCGTGCACGGGCAGTCGAAGACAAAGCCTGACAATATAACACAACACATGGTGATCCAAATCACTCTTGGCAATCGAAATCAAACCTCGGCGATCCAACACCAGCCCTGCCAATTGAACGCAAACGTAAGTGAAACAAGCATGCCCTGGCAAAATACTCATAATCCTCACACCTGAGAAAATCTAAGGGTCACCTTGGAAATAGGAAGCGAACACAGAGCTAGCAATCGAACGCAGCCCCTGGAACATATTTCCTGGCATTGGAACGCAAGCCATGGCCATACGGCCATCAAGAACAAGCCCTGGCAAAGGAACACAACACCTGGGGATCGAAAACGAAACGAAACCATTCAGAACAAACCGTGGTCATCGAAGCCGGCCCCTGACAATCGAGAACACACCGTGGTATTACCGAACAAAGCATGGTGACCAGACCCCGTGCATGGCCGGGACTGGAGGGCGCTCCGCGCCGTGCCGGGCGACGCGGAGCCTCGGGACACGGCGTATGAAGGCAAGACCGCCTCCGGGGGCTGTCTGCGCGTCTTTGCGAAAGGGCCCTCCGGCGCCCCTCCCGGCTTGCCATGTGGTCCTCGTGTGGTCGCGCCCTGGTGACGGAGGAGGGGGAGGAAGAGGAGGAAGGAGGGGGAGAAAGAGGCGGCGGAGGAGGAGGAGGAAGAAGAGGAAGAACAGGAAGAGGAGGAAGGAGGAGGAGGAGGGAGAAGAGGAAGAGGGGCGGAAGAGGAGGAAGGAGGAGGAGGAGGGAGAAGAGGAAAAACAGGAGCGGCGGGAGGATCATGTGCAGGATCAGCGAGGCCCGCGGCCGCCCGCCCGCGGCCGCCGAGGGCAGCCGAGGAGCCGCCGCGGGGCCGCCGAGGGGGCCGCCGCCGCGTGGCGCGCCTGCCCGCGAGGACAGCGCGCCCGAACCCTCTGGCGCGCACCACGTCTGGGTGCCCTCGCCGTGCGGGTGGCCATCCTGCGGCCGCGCGCCCCCCCCCCAGACAGTACACACGTAAGCACACACACAAGCACACAAGCACACAAGCACACAAACACACAACCACACACAAACACACAACCACACACAAACACACAACCACACACAAACACACAAGCACGCACATACACAAACACACAAAATCACAAGCACACACAAACACACACAAACACACACACAAGCACACGCAAACACACGGACAATCACACACACAAGCGCACAAACACACAAGCACACAAACACACAAACCCACAAACCCACAAACACACAAACACGCACACACACGCACACAACCACACACACACAACCACACACACAGACTCACACACGCACGCACGCACGCGCACACACACACACACCCACACCCACCCACACAATCACACACACACGCCGACCCATTCACACACACACGCACCAACACTAGAGCCATCGTGCGCGCTTCGCGCGTGCGCTCAAGTTCTAGCCAGGCTCGACAGGCTAACGCATAGAACCTCAATGCTTGAAGTGCATTGTGCATCCAACGACCTTGTTGGAGTCCTTGCGCACGCTTCCGAAGCGTATAGACGGTGACACGTGGAAACCACACAATCATCAAATTCCTTTAGGTGTTCGATGATTTGGGGCCCTCGAAGGCTTCCTGGGATGTTGTTCGGTGGTAGCGGGGCCCCTAATTATGGTCTGTTGTGCAGAAATGAGCATGGGGTAAGTTGGACAAAAGGGAATTATTGGACGTCTCTTTTTTCCAAATTGCCACGCCTGGGCCGTGGGTCAGAAGCTTCCTGGATACAGGCCGTGGACTGTTGGGGCGCCGCTGGGGGCCTCGTGGCGGCGTCTTGGGAGTCTTTCGGGGCCTCTTGGGAAACTCTTGGTGCCTCCTGGGAGCCTCCAGGGAGTCTCCTCTGAAGGCATCTGGGGGGCGCCTCGAGAGCCTTTGCGAGAACCTTGAGGCCACCTTGGGGCAAAACGCTCGTAAGGCTTCGGGGGGTCCCCTCTTTTGTCTCTTTCTTGGCGCGCGTGCGCGCGCGCTGACGTTCTAGCTGGGCTGGACAAGTTAACTCATGGGATCTCGATATTTACGGTGGTTTCAGGGGCAGTTAAGAGGACACGAAGTCGACCCAAGAGAGTGCCAAGGCAGCGTCGCAGAGTTCAAAAGTTTCCCCGAACAATCTTTGCAATGCGACCTCGAAGACTTGATGGGGCCCGGGATGAACTTGAACAAACAGAGAATCACTGGGATTATATATATATATATAATATATATTATATATATATATATATATTATATATATGGTCGCCCCCCCCCCCCCCCAAGATCCCCATGTTGCTTCCTCCTCCTCTCCCTCCTCCTCCTCCTCCCTTCTCCTTTCAGCTTCCTCCTCCTTCCCTCGTTTTCCTCCTCTTCCGCAGGCGGAACGTTTTTTTCATTTTTTTCCTCTTCCCGCCCTCGGAGGCAATGTTTTTTTCCTCTTTTTCCCTGTGAAAACACAGGTTTTTCCCTATTTTTACTTTTTTTTCCTCTTTTTCGGTCTCTCCCCTGGGGCGGCGGAAAAATCTGGAGGGCCCGAACGAGGCAGGGAAAAGAGGAAAAAAAGAACAATAGGAAAAAAACTGTGTTTTCACATGGAAAAAGAGGAAACAATCTCCGCGCACCAAGGCCGGAGGAGGAAAAAGAGGAAAAATCCGTCTCTCCCTGTTCCTCCTCGTCGTCGTCCTCCTCCTCCTCCTCCCCGTCGTCGTCGTCGTCCTCCTCCTCCTCCTCCTCCGTCCATCTCCCTTTCCTCCTCTTCCGCAGGCGGAAAGTTTTTTTTTTTTTTTTTTTTTTTTTTTTTTTTTTTTTTTTTTTTTTTTTTTTTTTTTTTCCTCCTCCCGCCCTCGGAGGCAGAGTTTGTTTCCTTTTTTCCCTGTGAAAACACAGGTTTTTCCTTATTTTTCCTTTTTTCCCTCTTTTCCCTGCCTCGTTCGGTCCTCCGAATTTCTCCGCCGTCCCAGGGGAAAGACCGAAAAAGAGGACAAAAAGGAAAAATAAGGAAAAAACTGTGTTTTCACATGGAAAAAAAGGAACAAACTCTGCCTCCGAAAGCGGGAGGAGGAAAAAACACAAAAAAAAGTTCCGCCAGCGGAAGAGGAGGAACACAAGGGAGGGAGGAGGGGGAGGAGAAGGAGGAGGAAAAGCGGCAGAGCAGGGGAGCGTGGAGGAGAGGAGGGAAGTTTTTTTTTCAATCGTCTCGGCGAGTTCGAGAACGAACAAAGCAGCTGCAGGCTGGGTCGGAACCCCCAACGTGCAACAAGGACGAACCATATCGAATGGCTGAAATACACCCCTCGTGGAATCTGCATGGCACCTCTTGGGCATCTACATAGCATAGTCAGCAGCATGAGCACGAACGGGCTCATATAATGTTGCGCGGCCTCCAGCCGCTAACGCCTTCCACTATTTACACGTAAGTCCAAAGAGACAGTTATCCGAATATGCCGTTGGCCCGTGCATCGCTCACAGCCGACCTACTTACGCATCGTCACCATCGATCGTCACCACAGACATCGACAATCCCCACTTTTCAGCGACGGTTTTCACCGCCGCGCGGAGGTCGTCCATGGCATCCTCGGGCATCAAGAACACAGCGCCATCAAACATGTAAGTGTTGACGGTCACGCCGTCCACAGAGGTCACCTGCGGCTCTGGCCGACGGCCCTGGCAAGGAACGGGCAGGCGCGCCTTATCCCCTGGCGCGCTGACGCGCTTGAGCCCAGACAGACACGGAGGGTGGCAAAGGCGTGCTTTGGCAAGGATTTTTTTTTTTTTTTTTTTTTTTCATCAACTACGGCTGCTTTATTTAGTTCGTGGGTGTCATTTGGGTCGTTAGTATGATGTTGCTGCGTTCTGTCGCTGTTCTGTCGGCTGTTTCCGTTATTGTCTCAGTGGTGGTGTTTCTGATGACCGATTATCGGCGTCATGATCGTTGCTGTGTTGCTTCCTGTGTGCCGCCGTTTGTGTGCTATTGTGGTGTTGCGTCGTTGTTTCCGTCGGCTGGCTGCGCCTTGAGTCTCAAGCGGCGACTGGGGGGAGGGGGGGGGGAGAGAGAGAGGGAGAAACAGGAAACGCTTTGATCCCAGCGGCCCTGGATTAATCCAGCGGGGGGAGGAGCTGTTCCAAACTATAGCAACATCTATATTCCTTGATATATTTTGCTGTTCCTAGCTATTGCTACATCTTCCGAGCTCTTCTCAAGAGCTCCTTCCTATTTGGTTTTGCGCCTCCGGACCCCTTTTTCGTGGCCACCGCGTTCGTTTATAGGCAGAAGAATCTCAGCTTTGATCCCAACGGCCCTGGATTAATCCAGCGGGGGGAGGAGCTGTTCCAAACTATAACAACATCTATATTCCTTGATATGTTTTGCTGTTACTAGCTATTGCTACATCTTCCGAGCTCTTCTCAAGAGCTCCTTCCTATTTAGTTTTGCGCCTCCGGACCCCTTTTTCGTGGCCACCGCGTTCGTTTCTAGGCAGAAGCAATCTCACTCGGAATCCGAGCTGTCTGCCCAATGCTGGGACATGCGCTCGATATACATCTTGAGGTCCTCGTTCTCCTTGGTGAGGCGGCAGCACTCTGCCTCGTGCATCTTGAGCTCCTTGTTCTCCTTGGTGAGGCGGCAGCACTCTGCCTCGGCATCCGCGCACCTGGCGAACAGTTCCTCGAACTCGTCCATCGGGACCCCACCCTCCGCGTAGTTCTCGTGCTCCGAGCCGCCCTCGCCCTTTGAGGTGTCCTCCGAGCCCTTGCCCTCGCCCTCGGTGTCCTCCGAGCCCTTGTCCTCGGCCCCCATCGGTGTCCTCCGAGCCCTTGTCCTCGTCCTCCGAGGTGTTCTCAGAGTCGCTGTCCTTGTCCTTCGAGCTCTCCTCGCCCTCCTCCCCCTCGTCCTCGCCCTCGTCCTTCTTCGAGCCGTCGTTCTCGCCACCCTCATTGTCGCCCTTGCCGCCCTCGTCGTCGCCCTCGCCGCCCCCGTCGCCCACGACGCCGTCCATGAGTGCCAGGGCGGGGGGCGCCTCGCGTGCAGGGGGGCCGTCAGGGACCTTTCCCTTTTGCCTGCGCTTGTTGAGCCAGGCGACGAGCTTGTTCTGGGCTGCTTCACTCCATTGGCCTTCCTGGCGGCGCTGCATTCCGCAAGACGCCTGTATGTAATTCATCTGGTTGTTCACCTCCTTCAGTAAGAGGACGGTCTTCGACGGGTGCACGGTCAAGCGCCCTGCGTTCACGTCACCAATAACATCCGCAGCGCGCGGGCGGACACGGTCCGCGATCGGCGCGGGGGCAACGGGCGGCCCCGAAGGGGCAGCCGGCTCCAAGAGGCGGATGATGTCAGCAGCTGCCGAGCCCGAGGGTTCTGACGGATTGCCAGCGCTCAAATCCAGGCGCGCCCGTTTACCATCACGGGTCAACGCAACACGACCAGATACCGCAATCGAGGTGTTCATACCTGCTGTAAGACTTCGACACGAATCTTCGGATCAGCCCGCGCGGGGGCAACTTGAGCCGATGATGGCTACGGACAGGGTGGGGCGAGTAGGAGGAGGGGGGGGGGGGGGGAAGTTGAAGGCGGAGGAGGAGTAGGAAAAGGGGAATCGCCTGGAGCCATGAGGAAATCCGCGGCCCCAGAGGTCCACGCCCTTTTCCTTGGGATGGTTTTTCGCTCTGGGTCGTTTTTGATGGTTCTGGGGCCCGAAAACGGTCCCTGGGCGCCGAAACGGATTGGCGGAAGGGCACCGAGTGTGCTTCCCCTCTCTAGGAGGAGGGAAGGGAGGAGGGAGGAAGGGGAGGTGGATTAAACCGCCGAGCCCTGGATTAATCCAGGAAGTACAGAAACAGAAAGATAGGACAGGAGGACGAAGAGAGGAAAGCAGAACAGAGCACGGAACATAGGGATCTTGGGGGGGGGTGGGGTGTGAGCATATATATATATATATACATATATATATATATC